GACTTTTTGAACACCCTGTATATATATATGTAATTATTTATAATTATATTATTTATATATATATATATATACAAGTTATTTAAAAAAAAATGAAAAAACACAGTTAGAAAGTTACTTCTTACAGATAACGCGTTACCATATTTATTGAAAGATGCAAAGTTGTACAGTTACGTTTTAAAGATGACTTGTTGCGTTTGTCGTTAGAATTGAAAAACGTATTCTGTTGCTATTGTCATTATTTGTTTTGAAAAATAACTTTTTAAAGCTCTTTGTCTACTTACGTAGGCTGTCCTTGTTTGATAACGTCAGAAGCGAAAAATCGCATGCTTAAGATTCTTACATTGAAATGAAAAGATATTTGTATAACGACACTTGTAATCGATTCAGCAAATTTGTAAAACGCTCCAAACAATCTCTTTTTTCTGTTACAATCAATAAATAGCTATAAAATTAATATAACAGAAATGATGAGAAAATTTTAGTTAAAACTTGAAATGCATGTCACACTAATTTTACAGCTATTTGTTTTAACAGCAAAATAAAATATAGATAGTTCTTTTTATTTCAACGTATTATTATAACGCAAGAATGGGCATGTAATTTCTTGCTTCTGATGCCATCAAACAAAAATAGTCGACGCGAGGGTTTTAATTAAAATAATAAAACATTATTCACAACAGTAATAAGCCGTTACAATTTTCGCTACACTTTACACAAAATTTCTAAAGTTATATTTATTATTATTTTAACGATTCGCTGCTACCCATGTAATGTACATATGTACATGTATTCAAGTAGTTTACTGAAAAATGAATTGGGAAAGTTATTTTTTTAAATGTAACTCGTTACTGTTACTCTTTATCTATCGAAGAAAAATCATTCGTTGCCGCCCTCGTTTTTATAAACTTATTTTTAAAAATAACACGTTATCATATTATTCAAAAAATAATTATTCTTTACAATTTTCATTACTTATTTCATCAAGCTTTGTTCCTTTTTTACACTTTGCTGGCATACATCCCACCTACACATATAATACAAATGCAAAATAACGATGAAACCCAATGAAAAATTTTTCATACATAATTATGTAAAAATATATAAAATTATATATAATTTTATATTATTATAATAATTATATGTTATATTACTTATATTATTATAATAATTATATATAATAATAATTTTATATTAAAATTATGTATGAAATTTGTCCATGTACATGTTAATACATGTTACTTATATATAATCATATATAATTACAGTATTCTCTCGATAACTCTCTGCACAAGCCACTTCCCCTTCACACGTACGCTCACTAATACTAATATCGCGTCCCCACGATATTGACGTTGGCGCAGGCGCGCGTAATATTGAAACACAACCGAATAGTGATGTAAAGTTATAAGCTGATGTGCATGCTTCTTCTTCTTCCTTCTCAATGGCCAAGACTTCTGTCTATCAGCCAATCACATGCATGTGCCGTCAGAGAAGGGGCTCTCGATAACTTTCTGTTTCCAAAAATTTTCCGCTCTTACAGCTCCTTGGGCGGCAAGTTATCGAGAGAATACTGTATATATTTAATTTTATATATAATTTTATTATAATATAATATTATAATATTATAATTTTATTTATTATATATTTTATTATAATATTATAAATTTTATTATATATATATATATATATATATATATATATATATAATTTTATATATAATTTTACATGATTATATATAATTATACATAATTATATATAAGTATGTATGGAAAAATTTTATATATAATCATGCATGAAAATTTTTCATCGGGAAGTAACGATTATTTCAATTACTGTTATTCAAAAAAACATTATTACATTATTGCATTACCGTCGCTAATGAAAAGAAATAACATTGTTACAAAATCATTACTAAAAAAGGAACTTATAACGATAATAATGTTATAAGTAACGCATTATTTTCTAACTCTAGTTGAGATGTATATCATAATTAAATATTTCGTATTGCAGATATCAGATCCGAATGTCTTAGAATGCCTTTGTCTCAATTATAAGATATCGTGGCCGTTGAATATTATTTTGGATGACACGGTGATGCTGCAATATAGCAAGGTGTTCAAATTCCTGATAATGACTGGTAGGATGTCGTGGGTATTGAAGGAAGACTTCAATATTATGAAAGTGGACCGTAATGTAGTTGTTTCGGAGCAGTATCACAAAGTAAGATATTTGTTTCTATCGAGAGAGACACCGTGAAGAACGTTAAAAGATCATTTGTAATTAAGATTATCGTTCGCTTGCAGCTTCAGTTGTATAGACATTCTATGACACAATTCATGAACGCTCTTCATAATTACTTAACGTGTAGCGTGCTGCACGCAAGTTGGAGCGAATTTGAGAAGGATCTGCAAAACTCGCGGACGATAGATCAGATTTATCTCTCGCATATGAATTACATCAAAAGAATACTTTCGAGGTAATGTCTTTCTGTTTTTGTACTTCGAAAGAAGAAGACCTAATGTCCGTTTCCTTCAGTCTTCATTCTTTCGAAGAAGTTATTATAGGTCTTAGAATTCAGAATTTAAAAGTCTTCCCAATCAAAAATTTCTTTGTAGTTGTTGAGATATTAATTAATAGATATAATTAACGTAATAAATTTTTTCTTCGAAATATATAGGATGTCTCATTTTAATTTAGACATCGTGATATATCGAAAGCGTTACATTTCCAAAAAAAATGTTTCCAAATCTTACAAAAATTGTAAGATATCGAGGAGGAAGAAAAATAGTAATATCCTTTAACTTCGGAGAAACTTTGTTAAAGTCTAATTTTTTAAACGGAATCATATAATTTTTTAAACTTAAGTAAATTCCTCTGACCATTCTGCGTACAGAAATACTGGAATAAAATCATCGGAAAGTGAACGAGATATCTTATATCTGGTATTGAAAAGTAACAGGATAAAATATGAAATATCTCGACAAGTATTCACTTCTCGATGATTTTATTTCGGTACTTTTATGCATAGAATGACTAGAAGAATTGATTTGTGTTTAAAAACCATATGAATTTATTTGAAAAATTAGAGCTGACATTAGAGAATCCTTGACAGGAGTTTTCAAGATAAAAAAATATTACTATCTTTTTTCCTCCTCGATCCTACAATTACAAATTTTATTGGAAACACTTTTTGAAAATGCATTGTTTTCGAGATATTACGGTGGCTATGTTAGAATGGGGCACCCTGTATATTTAATATGAATATATTTATTGATTTTGAATATTAAAATATATATTGGTTTTTTTCTTCCGAAATTATACATAAATATCTAGACAAAGTATTCTACAAGAGGAAAGTCTAATTAGCGGAAAGGGAAAAGTTACAGCACTTCGGATAGTTGGATTGTGGCTTCTTCGGATATGTTCAGTTTTATAACAGTTTAATAGTAGGAACTATGTGACATTTGCAACAAACTAAAGTAGCATTTTCGAAAGGATTTGCTATATCAATATATTATAAAATGTACACAAAACAAATATATTTAATTTTAATAACACTTAGACACTTGGACTTGGTTTGGACACTTCTGAGTGCAATTTGGAACACATTTAATGAGACAACTTTCTTTAAATTCTACAGGTTAAAACCTTTCATTGAGCCATCAGCTACGTTCCAAATTATATCGAGAAAAAAGTGTTCATATTGAAATCAAATGTATGTCTGAGTCGAATAACCCAAAGTGTCGTAATTTTTCCCTTGAGTTAACGTTTCAAAAATGTCTTGAGTTGGTTGCAAATGTTACGATTTCAGCACGAGCTATAAAGCTGGATGTATCTGAGGAAGCCACGGTGAAAATATTTGAAGTATTTTTTTTTATTGCTGACTAAACCTTTTCCTTATAAAGTGCTCTGTCCAGACATTATTATGTCCATGGTTCAAACCATATTGAAATCGAATGCTTTGTCCAAACAGTTATATACTGTTGTTTGAGATGTGGATCTGATTGATTGCGTTCAAACTTGAGTACAAATTATGAATTTCAGGTGCATGCTAAACACGCGTGGGGAGAAGATGCGTGTGTGCTTGATCAACATCTTTAAGATTATACTGAAATTTCACAATCGATTGCGATCGCAAATCTGGACGGTTGGCAGCACAGGCCGGTACAGTCATCCGAATTTCAAGAGTCTGGAGCAGATGTATCAGTCGTTCTGCGAATGGCGGACTTATATGGCACACGTAGCGCACAAATTAGCTATTAGCGGGTATCAGCCGCACTTAACTCATTTTCTCAATGCTTTAAATATGAATCACATGTATGACTTAACGACGAAACAATAACAATGTGAATGCGCACTCGTTCGTGCCCTCTTTTACGAAATCGAGATACACTGAAGGTAAAAAAAACAAAAAAGTATAGGAATTATTTTTTGTAAGTTATATCATTCCCATATTAAAAATAATTTAATTTTCACGGAAATGCGCTTTTATGTTGGTTTATTTAACAAAATGATGAGAGAATTTCAGTCGTTATGAAATAGCGAATATATGTTTACAATGATATCGATGATAAATTCGTTATGTCAAGTACTTTAACGCAACGGCTACATAGTCTGTTTTTGTCTAATTCGGGATGCCTTCTACATCTTTGACAAAGCGTTTTCTCAATATTACGTAACTTGACTTGCGTCTCGGCCATTGTGGACGATTCTGTTAGTGTAATTGACGACAGTTGCAGAATTTCGCACAATTCCGACGTGGAAGATTCTCGGTCCTTCTGAAGTATCTACGGCAATACCGATTTACTCATTTTATTCGATTGTCGTTCAGTTCGATTTTTTCAAGTTCAAAGATTGTCGTGTTAACAATATACAAAACTTACGAAAGCAGATAACTCACCGAGAGAGATTCGTAGTCGTTCTTCGACGCTGTTATAGTCCCTGATAATTCCCACGTATTTTGATCAGCCAATGTGTTGACTATGCTCCTTAAGTTCAAAGCTCTCTCCACGTGTGCAGCGATTTCCGGCTGATTCCACGTCTCCGGTACCTTGTACTCAGTATGATACAACGGCACCGACGCTGTAAATAATACACGAACAATATAAACGCGCTGATGAAAGAGATTTCGTCGGCGAAATCGCTTACCCAAATTCATGGGATGGTGTAACCACGCTTCCTCTGCTAAATGTGGGACAATCGGCGCGATAGATCTCGCGAATACAGTCAAGGTCTCACGCGTTATTTCCACCGCAGCTAGTCGCGTTGGAGACATCGCCTCGTCGCAGTAGAGCCTATCTTTAATTAAATGGCAGTATACTGGCGATATAGTGTTCGCCAGAAAATGCGTGACCAGTTTACTCACATTATGATACAAATAATTGTCGTATAAATGTTGAATCTGCGAGTGGAAAAAAGAAAATGTTAATTAAGATTAATTACAGTTATCTCTCAATGTATTATGTTTAGGGAAAAGAATATGGACGAATTTCGAGTTGTGGAATCACGGCTGATAGAGCTGAAGATAAAAATTCTCATTGCATATAATCACAAGTACCTTTTTGTCGTATTGATACAAAGCATGCAACATATACTTGTCCAGGTAAAGATATTCCGGCTCAACCGAGTTCCCTTCGTTGTATGAGTGTAAACCACCCAACAGGAATCGCAAGATTTGCCGCAGTTTATGGATATATTCGTGACTTTGGCGCAGTAATGCCGTTGTAACCGGAACCTGAGTGTTTTGGCATGCGTGACTGGCTACCCACCACCTATTAATATTCTTGTTAAGTTTGAAACGATTCGTTTTCCACAAATTATGATTAACCAATCAAAGATAGACAGCAAGCAGAGTTGACAAAATTACTTTTTAAAAGTAACTCATTACTCATATTGAAAAGTGAGTCGTTGCCATTATTCATTTAAAAAAATAATTGTTACTTAAAAAGTAAAAAGTTGTTGCAATCTCTTTATCATATTTTTCACTTTTGAAGGCTTTTCTTCTTATTTTCTTTTTACAAAATTTTAATAATAATGATATTGCAAGTAACAAGTTACTTCTCAATCCCACTAAACAGTTACCTTAGAGTGTCGACGCCATACGTTGGATCCTTGGTTGAATCATCTCCACCTTTAGTGATCAGTTCAGGATCCACAACGTTCCCGATGGATTTTGACATTTTCGCGGCTTTTTCGTCTACAGCGAATCCATGCACGAACAATGCGCTTTGAGAAAAAAAAATGAAATAAGTAAGATATATTTACTCGAAATTTTTCAATGGCACGCCATTTGATACCACACTGCGTGAAATACCTGTAAGGAGAACGCTCTTGGAGAGCAATGGATGTTAGCAATGATGACTGAAACCAACCGCGAAATTGGTCCATTCCTTCTAAGTACAAGTCCGCTTTATATTCCGGCAAAACAGTCGACCACGACAGTCCGCTATCCAACCAGATATCCATAATATCCTTCAAGAAGAATTATGCATTTTGCAGTCATGTAACATTAACATCCGTGGCCATTTATAACTAATACTAACGAGAATCGATAGTTACATACGTACAGTTCTTTTCTCCAAGTCGTCCACATTATAGGGCAATTCCTGTCGAAGCTCACGCCCGATTAGTTTCTCGGTCGACAGTTCCCACCAATAATCGGGACCGTATCGTTCCGTCAATTTGCACAATCTGTCGACCCATTTTCTAAGGGCACAGAAACATATGTCGTTTTTTATAGTAGAACTAATTTGTCGTATCAGATTAATTAAAAAAATCTTATCTAATAGGACACTTTTCTAACATACTTTTCTTTTATCGGTATATTTCGACAGTTGAAAAATACTTTCCTCATATCAGTATTTGCTGAATGTTTATAGAAGACTATTGATTAAAAAGACTTAATCAATTCCTGATGTAGAAAAACAGAGAGAGGAAGGGGGAAGAAAGAGAGAATAAAATATAAAATGGATATAAAAATAATAAAAAAAAAGAAATTAAATATAAAATAAATACATAAAATATATATAAAAATGATTTACATATAGAATAGATTTTTATGTGAAGCTTAATCTAATATAGAAAAACAATACAGAAAAAAATTACCTGCTCGTGAACACATCACCGGTTTGTTTATTGTACAACACTGGTATCGGCGTGCCCCAGGATCGCTGTCGAGAGATGCACCAGTATGGTCGCTGCTTAATTTGAGCGAGTAGCGCGTTCAAATATGACGTTTGATTTTGCTCCGGATATATCTTTATACTCGAAATGCTGTCCTTGCGTAAGGAAAAAAGTCTATCGTAAAAATGTACAAATTTAAAGTAAGGTGCTTCGTCTCAGAAACACTTGACTAACTTACAATAGCTTTCTGCTTAATGGGATTCAGGTCTATGAACCATTGGTAACTCGCGCGGATAATTACAGGTTTTTTGGTGCGCCAATCATATGGGTAGCTATGCACGAGCGTGTCGGTATGCAACACATCTGTGGCGATGTAATTCAAGATCCTATCGGCGCCGTCAGATAGCACGTTTAAACCGGCAAACTTATCACCCGCTTCTTTGGTGTAACATCCTTCTTCGTTCACTAGAGATATCTATAGTATAGAAATAGAATGAATTGTTATGCGCTTTGAATGATGCAAATGAAGAAATCAATCCCGTAGACTTACTATTGGTATGTTATTTTCTACTGCGACAACAAAGTCCTCTGGACCATGTGCTGGAGCTGTATGAACTAGCCCAGTACCAACATTGGTTTTAATATGTTCGCATGGTAAGAAGGGTAAACGTTTCTTGGTGATGGGATGGAGATACCTCGCTTCAGCCAACTCGTGTCCTGCATTGATTAATTACGTTCCACAGTATAAATATATTTTTACAAGTACAAAATATAAGCAGCCATACCTTTGATATTTGCAATGGGCTTTAATGGGCCGAGCTTCTCCTCAACATATTTTATACATGCATGTGCAACGATGTACAGATTTTTCGAGTTATCCTCTACTACACAGTAGACAGTGTCATTGGAGAACGCTATAGCTTGATTAGCTATCAATGTCCATGGTGTCGTAGTCCAGATAAGGGCATGAAGCGGCTTCTTCTCTAAACTCTCTAACCTTCTTAAATTTGACGGCAATGTATCGACTTGCATACGAATAATAATGCTTTTGCTTTTGTGAGACTCGTTATACTCCAATTCCGACTCTGCTAGTGCTGTTCTACGATTGGCGGCGATAAAAAATTTTGATAAAAATTAAGGACTAAGGGGGAGTTTCTTAGAATTCAGTTGTGGAAGTATTCAAAATGGAACATACTTAGAGGAAGGCGACCAGTACACTGGTTTGAAATCCCTTTTCACAAGTCCCTTTTCATACAGATTCATAAACTGTTGCAGCTGGTTCTTCACATATGACGGATGATTCGTGAAATAACATCCCGATTCACTCCAGTCAGCTATAGTGCCCCATGATATAAAAGCTTCTCTCTGTTTCCCTATAGTATCACTTGCATATTTTTGAGCTACAATATAGAAATTGCAAGAGATTATGACAATTAGTACAATATTTATCAGAGTTGAACCTTCCCAGATAGCCCAGTATGATTGAGTATTTTGAGTAAATTAATGCACAGCAGATATTGTTAAATGTTTGCTGTATATTTGTTAACATGTAATGAACGCGTTACTAAACGCAACAACATAATTGCTTTTATTTAAATGACGAGATTTTAAGAGTAAATTGGTGAACGACAGTAGCAACATTGTCAGCATCATGACAAAAACTTTTTAACGGATTATAAATCTGCATCAACGTATTGTCATTAATTTGCCATTATTTGAATTAGAATTCACATGAGTTCAATGCGACACACATAATGCTGTCTCACCTTGTTCCTAGTTTATTTAAATTAGTTCCTGTTTGTTGTCGATAACATAACAGCAAACTCACAGACAATTGGCTATCTGGGTTTATACATAAATTATGATACTTTTTTATTCTACATGTTGACAATATAAACTATATATAAGATATTATTCTATGTAGACTGTAAATAAATATGAATGTCATTTAAAGGACGCGTATGGTTTACTACAAAAATTAAAAGCACTTATAGTTTTATTTTACTTTTAAAATTCTGATATAAATTTATGAACGTTGTTTTCTAAACAACTTGAAGTGTACCAAATTCCTTGGTTGAATTCTCACCTCTCACTTTTTTCAAAGTTAAATCTATCACATACTGAAGAGAAAATTTCATGTAACATTGTTACTGTTAATGTAATTGTTTTTAAACATTATATTTCTAATACACAAAACATAAACAGTGTATAACTGTTTTATAATTTAATTATTGTTTTGTATATATTTAAATATAATTTACAATATTCTACATAGTTTACATTGTCCACATGAAAAAAAATTGTGTATATATCACATAGATAATATGTAAACAATATCCAGTGTAAACATAATCTTAAAATCTACAACACAACCCTGATATTTATCTGTAACATACCTTTCTGACGAATCTCTAGGGGACTGATGTCTTTTATATCTCTGACTGCCTTCAGTTCAATTGGTAAACCATGACAATCCCATCCTGGAACATAATGTACTCTTCTACCTGTTATAATTTTACTGCGCAGAGTAATATCCTTGAGGATCTGTGAATGCACAAAAATTCTTGCTGAATATCTGTACAATAGAACAATATTATTAACTCAAGTACTTCTCAAGTTATTAACTTTGTTAATAGCATGGCCCATGTGTGGTTTTCCGTTGGCATAGGGTGGACCATCGTGCAGAATGAAATCTGGTCCAGAGAGATTTTTCCTTTGCCATTTGTATAACTCCAAGAAGCCGCATTTCTGTTGTAATAATACATAAAAATATTTCCGTTAAATATGATTATTAATTTGTAAAATATATAATTCTCAGTAATCTGATGACAGTATTATTGTTGAAACGCGACTGTTCCAAGACGGATATATGGTGATAGTTCTGGGCAAAAAAGAAAATCGTGTGAATTACATAAAGGTGCAACAAACCTACTTCTATCAAATAATTATCCATCTCCACTCTTTTCTTGCCGCCAAGTCGTACCGGGAAGTTAGTTTGCGGCAATAGCACGGTTTTAGTGTAGCTTTGTTTCGCAGTATTTTTCACGCCTCTCACATACAAACCGATGCCGATTTTTGCATAATTCTGCAATATCGTCCTAACTTGTGTCATCTTTGTGATAAATACGTACATTCTTCATAAATTACAAGATATTCTGTTTTCTATATCTTAACCTAAACTTTTGCGTGACATATCGCTCAAAAAGGTTAGTTATCGATACTGTGACGTCACGAAGTATCGATACTCCGGTTTCGAGATCTCGATTTTTTTGAGCGCCTCGGATAGATATATAAAATGAAAGAGTATACACGGCTTTGCGTGGTGTTTTTTAAGCACACACACAAACCATAGTCAATATTATTTTTATTATTATTAGGTAGAGAGAGACCAAATAAAGTTTCAGAAATACATTATTTTTATGCTAAATTATTTTCATTTATTTAAAGATGTATTAAGGATAATAATTTTTTATAAGATAAAAAGTTTTTACATACTTACCCACATAGCACAAAAGTCAACGTTATTATTGTTAGAATGTTGCCAGAATATTTGCAGTAAATTATATTTTATTGAATGTCAATGTAATGTTATATTAATGTCCGATATTATAGAGTAGCAATGTTAATATTACTAAAATATTAGAGTAATGTAGCAAAATAGTTACATTTCTGTAATAGCAATATCATATTGCAGTAATGTACCAAATGTATGTATGAAAATTTAACGTGAAAGCAATATGTACTATATTGATGTAACATTGCCTGCTAAGATTGTATTAATTTTGAATGCATATATAAATATAATATTTTCATATAATGAAATTTATATCATGCGCATATTATTCGAGGATGCGCAGAGAAGACACATACGAAGATCGAAGTATGCACAACAAATATATATAATAAAATAAATATATATATAATTACAACATTTGTTCATACTGATTAAATATTTATCCACATAGCACGTAATATTACATTATATCACAGTAATATTTCCGTAATATTGTAATATCGCAAAAATATTACGGAAATATTACTGTGATATTATATATATTATATGTTATGTGGGTATATTCAGTTATATTCACTAAACAATTTAGTTGAACATATTATTGAATTAAATTTTAGTTACTATGATTAACGTTTTTTAGCGTGGCATTATATCCCGATGAAAAATTTTTCATGCAAAATTTTGTATGAAATTTGTCCATACATAATTATGTATAATTATATATAATCATATAAAATTATATATAATTATACACAATTATGTATAACAATATGTATAATTACATAAATTTATGCGTAATTATGTAAAATTATATATGAATTTATATATATAATTATACATAATTATATATAATTATATATAATTATATATATAAGTAGAATGTATGTACATGAATGGACAAATTTGATACATAATAATATATAATTATATATAATTATATATAATTTTATATAATTTTATATAATTATATATGAAAAATTTTTCATTGGGATGTTTAATGCATATATGTTTATATATGGAAAGTATTATATGTTCTTCATGATTTTGTTCCTCTTTCTTATATTTTATCATAATTTTCAATAAAAATAAAATATATAAAGGATATATATTTTCTTTTCCTTTCTTTTAATATTATCCTGACATTTTATAGTATTAAAAGTAATATTATTTCCAGCACAAAGCAACATTAAATGTAATATTGACCAACCTTGTATTAATATTTGATTGCATCATTTCTTTAATGTTCCGGAAAGTAACATTTTAAGATCAGAATAATATTCTTCTCACGTTTATAAATGTTACTCAAATATTTTCCCTAATGTCATATTTAATATTGCTTTAATATTTTTGTGCTATGTGGGTATACATACAGACAGTGTCTCACAACTATTGGCATATCCATTGTGTTCAGATAGAACTAAAAATTAGACATCAAAATTAGACTTAAAATTCTTCTACCATTTCACAAACAACTATGTAAAATTATGAATTAAAAAAGACTTATGTATGATTATGCATGATAACCCAGGTAGCAAACTTACATCAAAATGACGTTAAAATCTGGTCAGTTCATGACCAAAAATGTCATCAAAATGTCGTCAAAATGACGGTCTAATGTTACAGATCGATGACGACATTTTAAGACGACTTAATGATGTTTTAATGACGTCTTTAAATGTCAATAATACGTCATGATGTACAAGTACACGACAACAGACATCGCTATCACAGCTTACTATCGTGTCACGCGTGATCATTTACTAATTTTCTTTAATTAATAAGTCGAAATTTTATTTGGTTGTCTGCGAAATGATAGAGGAATTTTGTGTTCAGTTTTATGAGTTCTACCTACATAAACGTAATGTCAATAATTGTCAGACACTATATATTAAGTGTATGTATAATTATTAAGTGTATGTGTTCGTATGTTTGCCTGTCCAGTTATTACATTATTTATACAAAATGAAAAAAACCTTTTATTTGTTGCCACTTATTACATCTTGTTATTTATACCGAATTCAATTTGCTCGATTAATATTTAAAAAGCTATTATATATCCCATATTTCATTCTTGGTTATATAATAGATTCACAGATTCAATTGAAAAAACGATGTGCCACTGCCTGTACTTTTATCGCTGTGCTCTTACGTCTTGCCGCGTCGAGGCGAGATGTTGGAGAGCAACGATATAAGCATAGACGGTGGCGCGTTGTTCTTCTTTTCGTCACGCGTCTTCCGTTTTTTGAGCAACTAAAGCGCGCTAGGCTTTGAGCGACTTTAACAGTTCGAGTGCTCCTCCTTTCTTCAGCAATGTAAAAGAATATCTAGAAACATCTGAAAACACATCGTAGGAAAAATAAATAAAGATAATATATATAAATATAAATATAAAAAAATAATAATAAAATATAATAAAATAAAATATAAAAAATATAATAAATATAAATATATATATATATATATATATATATATATATATATATATATATATA